ATTATGATGAGTCTTAGTATAGACCTTTTTGGGCTCATCTTAATTGGGACTCTCTGTACTTCCTGAACTTGTGTATTTTTTCTTCATCAGGTTAAGAAAGTTTTGGGGACATTTTTTCTTCATATATGTTCTCAATTGCTTGCTTTCTCTCTTCTGGTAATCTAAGATGTGGATGCTGTATCTCTTCATTTTGTTGTAATGTCTCAAACTATCCTATTCTTTTCAATACATTTTTTTTTCAGCTCTGATTGGGTGTGTTCTTTTTTTCTACTTTGTCTTAACATCACTGATTTGATCCTTTGCTTCATCCAACCTACTTTTATTTCTTATAATGTATTCTTCATTTCAGATATAGTTTTCTTTATCTAGCTGATCCTTTTTTTATGGTTTCCATATCCTTTTTTATGTTGTTAAACTCTATATCTGATAAATTGCTTGTCTCCATTTTATTTAGCTCTTTTTTTTTCTAGAGATTTATTCTATTCTTTTATTTGGGACCTGTTTATTTGCCTATCCATTTTGGCTGCCTCTTTGTATTTGTTTGTATGTATTATATAGATCTGCCAAGACTCTAAGTCTTCATGGGGTGGCCTAATGTAGTAGGTGGCCTGTGGGGTGCAGAAGTGCAGTCTCCTTGGTCACCTGAACTGAGTGCTCCAAGAATGTCTCTTATGTGGGTTATGTGGACCCTCTTGTTGTAATTAAGTCTTGATTGCTATTGACCCATTTGTGTGTGATATCAACCCTCAAGCTGGCTGACTGTGAGGTTCAACCCTGACCATAGTGTACAAGCTGCTGTCAGTTACTGACCACATGAAGTGGAAGTTACCTCAGCAGATTCTGTTGCCTACTGATATCTCCCTTTGGATGTGCCACTTGTTGGCTCCTGCTCTGAAATTGTCTGAAGCTGTACACTGGGTGTGCTTGTTCTGGGGCCTTGTGGGAGGGACTCTGATGTAGGACAATGTCAGACACTGCTTGTGACTGATCCTGGGAAACCTGGTTAGAGCTACAAGCAATCCACTGTTTGTGGTTGCATTTATTTGGCCTGTGGCATGTGGCAAAGACAAAGCTTTATACTTATGCTAGCTTTTACCAGATCCAGGACTGGAGAAAGATCAGAAAAATCCTAAGATACCCCAAGATCTGCCTCTGCCTGCCTCTACCCCCAGCTGCATATTAGGCTCGGTCACTGAAAGGACCTCTAGTAGTATTCAAGTAGTTCTCAGTGAGTCACTAAGTAAGGATGAGTGGTGCTCACCAGATTGATTTAGGTTCAAACTTGGTGCCAATGCTGAGTCTGAAGCCACTCAGCAAATATCCCCTGGTGTGCGAAGTCTACCTGTCATTAGCTGAGTGCTCACACAAGTTTATGCTTGGGTGGGGTCTCAGGGAGTCATCAGGATGAGGCCAGCAGAATTTATTAGGCCCAAATAGACCAAGATTTAGCTGCGTATAAGGTGGGCTCTGCTCTGGTCATGTGTGCGAGGAAAAAAATGTCCCCTGTTCGAGAGTCACATAACTCAATCTATCCTGGATTTTGCCTTAACCTTAGCAGGGCAGAGCCACTAGAAGTTGGGCAAATGGGGCCTTCTGAGTCCAGAGGGTGGGTACACTGGATGCCCCAAGGGTGGTTCTAGTGGCTCTTCCATGAAGGGACAGTGCCAGTCAGGTTCATAGAAAAGTGGGGGGAATGGCCTGCAGGCCAAAGCTACACAACTCAGTCACTGACATCCCCTGAGTCTTTCCAGACCTCTGCACACTGGTCAAGACAGCTGACTGCTCAGCAAGGCATATGCTCCACTTGGTGGAGCAAGAGGGAGATCAGTCTGGTGTCACAAGAAGAGGAGTGGTCCACCCAAGAAAAAAAGATAGTGTCTGCAATATGGGAGAATGATTCAGTATAGGGATCATGACAGCTATCCCTTTGCTCTCTCCCAGAACCACAAACGCCATACTTTCCTTATGTAAATCTAGTCTGCTTCACCTTCCTTCCGCCTAAGCCCAGGGTGAGTGGTTGTGAATGAATTTTTTTGTGTTGGTCTAATAGGAGAGCCCCTGTGTCTCTAGCAGACTCCATCTCTCCCTGATGGAAGATTCCCTGCTGCTTTTCACAGCCAGATGTTATAGGGGTGCTTCTTTCCACCACTGGTGCTCTGGGGTGGTTTAGACCCTACTCTTCTCAAGGGAAACCCCCACAGCTGAGATATCCTCTGGAACCACAGCCTTGCCCATGGGAGGAGAGCCAGCCCTTTTTGTGTCTCTTTTCCAACCAATCTTGATGTGGCTTTTTCTGTAAATTCTTTTTTTTAAAATATATTTTATTGAGTTTTTACAGAGAGGAAAGGAGTGAGATAGAGAGCCAGAAACATCTCTGAGAGAGAAACATCGACCAGCTGCCTCCTGCACACTCCCCACTGGGGATGTGCCCGCAACCAAGGTGCATGCCCTTGACCGGAATCGAACCTGGGACCTCTCAGTTCGCAGGCCGACGCTCTATCCACTGAGCCAAACCGGCCTCGGCTGTAAATTCTTAATTATAAGTCTTGAGTAGTAGTTCCAGTTTGGTTTTGGGAGGAGAGAGTGTAGCTTCTCCCTACACTACAATTTTGGAATCCATGATTATTATCTTAAACTAAAATGAAATATATTGTTTTTCATTAATAGAATCATTACCTCCCATTCTAATGTGTTGTTGCTAAAATTCTGATATATTTGTTTTCTTAACATTTAAAGTAAGGGTGAAAGAAACAGAAACTAAGGGGGAAAAGTAAATATTTAAAAATTAAGAGTTTACACCTGACAAAAATTTTTGTGATAGTAGCATAAAATCCAAAATCATATTCATCACTATTCCCTTCATCTATGTCAAAGCTCCCTCAACTAAAATTTTTTTTCTTGTTTTTATTGAAAATGAACCAGTACCAAGATTAGGATGGAGGACTAAAATGAAAATCCCTTTTCTGCGGTGGGCGGGGGGAAGAATGTTCTTCAAGGTCTGAAATAAATTATTTGCTGAGACTGTGTTTATCTGGGCACAACAGTCTTTTCAGCAACACACAGAAAAGCTTGCCAGGCCCATAAATCTGAGGGAACAAAAGGGCAACAAACACCTCAGAAAAACCAGCCCCCACCAAGTCAAAGAATGAATAATCTCCCTCTTATTTGGAACAGAAACACAATGTGCATAACAATAATAGCACATGCAAAAAAACTTAATAAAAATCCAACTTAGAGAATTGGATTCAACCACAGAGTGCTTTGTCTATACATTCTACTGTATTTCAGACAGTTGCAAAACTTAAACTGATTCTAGACTTAACACTTTTCAAACTCCCCAAATAGTCAAGACTTAATAACACTATTAAAACCATGGGTGTTCTATATGAATAAAATCATCGACAGAATATATAGTGTGTCGATGTCCTCCGGACAAAGACCATGAAGAATCTATCTGCAGTTGAACAAGGAACTAGGAGGTCTCAGTAAGAGGGTTTATTATCACATCTGTACTTGGGCCAGATGATTTGGGGAAGATTGAAGGGAGCAGAAGTTCACTCTGAAGCAGGTGATGACAGAAAGCAGGGATCACTTTGTGACTGCATACCTTAATCTCAACTAGAAGGAGGGAATAGTGACATGAGGCTAAACTTTTAATGTGTAAAGAAGCTTTTCAGCTTCATGTTACATGGGGTAGAGGATGTGTCGGGGGCGGGGGGTGCTTAGACAAAATCATGAAGTTGTCTTTTTGTGTGTGTCATTTCTCAATGTCACAGAGTGGCCTTTTCTGATGCTTGTGTTCTGTGAGGTCATTTATGTCCAACAGAATTGACAGACCATCACCTGTAGCTTTAAGTGCCAGGTCAGCTCCGAGCTGCCGAGGGAGCTTTTCTTGTTCTTGAGTGATACTTAACCATAAGGTGATAAATAAAAGTAGAGTGATAAGTACACACACATATGCACAATTTAAGTGAATCATTTAATGGATTAAAAGTAATTTTAAACAATTATTTTATAGAACTCTTATATAGTTCCTGTTTTGGGCCAGGAACTTTCTCAAATGTGAATTCATTTAGTCTCCATAAAGTAGGTGCTGTTTCTATCTCAATTGTACATATTAGGAACCTGAGGCACAGAAAGATTAAGCCAGCTGCCCAAAAGATGCACATCTAGTAAATAGTAAAGTTGAAATTTAAATCCAGACACCTGGTTTCAGTGTTTAAACTCCATGCTGTGCTACAACTAAAAGTTAACTCTACTCTTCTGGACTTTAAATTAATTTTCACATTATACATATGGAAATATTAGGGGGAAAAGACAGAAACTTCCTTTGTTTTCCTTAATATTTAATTATACCCATGTCCTGCTACTTTTAGATGTTTTAAGCCTTAAAACAATTTGGAGTTGCTTGATGAGGAGAAAGTCTCTTGGTTCAGTTGGATGTAAGTTCTGGCTATTCAACCCAGAGGGCTAACTAACAGGGATAGGCCATGCAGAGGAAAGAACAGAGACCAAGCAACTTTGGCCCCGACCCATGAGAACAAAAATCCGGATTACCTAATCACTTCTACCTCTCAATTACTGTTTTCTTTTAATTTAAGGTTTCAATACAGTTAGTCTGCCTTGGCTTATCACACTTAGATGACTATTTCTGTGCTTTAGAACATTTCTTTAGTTCTCAATACTATTTATTAATTTGAATTAAAAAAATAAAATTGAGGCTTGGGTAATGAGTTAGTGCTACTGTTTCAGATGCTGTTTCTATAGAACCTTTCTACTGACTCTGCCCCTCTTCTGCCAACACTCCTCTTCATTAACATTGTTTATGCATTAGCATTATCATCTACACAGCTTATCCACAACAGTAATCCATTATGCTTTCCCTTAAATATAATTTTTAGATTCCTCATATAGTAAGACCCATGCGTTCTGAGAATGTATGCATTTCATGGGAAGAATAAAGTCCTTCATGTTGTGATACAACATCTGTAAGCTGCCTGCACCAGCTCTTGACTTTGCATTCCCCTCACATTTAACTGTTGAGGTCTTTCACCTGCAGGTTCAATTCATCACAGTTCCTATTTATATGCCTCACAGGGAATGAGGCATATAAATATACTCCTTAGCTTTGTTCTGAGCTCCAAAAGTCACCTGTGGCCCAAAGCTTCTGAATTGATGTCTTTGGAATTAGCACTAAACTTTGAAGTACAAGCACATCTGGGAGATATTACGGATATTATGGATTTGGTTCCAGGCCACCATAATAAAGTATTACAATAAAGCAAGTAATAATCTTTTTGCTGGTGGAGGTCCTTGCCTCCTTCAATCTACAAACAAACAAACAAACAAAAAAACACAACAAAAGCAAAACAAAGAAACCCTACATCTGTGATGTGCAATAAAGCAAAGTTCAATGAAATGAGGTTTGCCTGTATTCAGTAAGTTGTACCTGTTCTGCCATATGCTCCCATTCTTTTCACAATCTTCTAAAACTGTATTCCACTAAATATTTACTTTCTCAAGTGAATCTTGTATTGATGTTATGCTTAACATCAATCACTGTAAATTACAATAGATCCCTATTACAGCAGACATTTTTCTAGACACTAGAAACAAAACAGGATCCAAAGTAAACAAAAATCCCCATCCTTGAGTTTATATTGTGGTGAAAGACATTGCATGTTTGAGTAAGCAACCACTAAATTACATATATCTCCAAATATATAATGGCTCAAATGAAATAGAAGGTTATTTATCACACTGTCAAGTTATCGAAACTGTTTCTCTGGGTCAGGGTGGCAGGGAGACTGCTTTGCCCCATGGATCCATTCAACATGTGGCTTTAAGATGGTAATGGATATTGTGGTGAAAGACATTGCATGTTTGAGTAAGCAACCACTAAATTACATATATCTCCAAATATATAATGGCTCAAATGAAATAGAAGGTTATTTATCACACTGTCAAGTTATCGAAACTGTTTCTCTGGGTCAGGGTGGCAGGGAGACTGCTTTGCCCCATGGATCCATTCAACATGTGGCTTTAAGATGGTAATGGGATAAAATATCGAATAAACAGAAGAAAAATAAAGTAGAGCATGTGAAGCATTTGTGTTATTTTTTCTTTTAATTTTAATTTCTATTTTTTTAATATATTTTATTGATTTTTTTACAGAGAGAAAGGGAGAGAGAGATAGAGAGTTAGAAACATCAATGAGAGAGAAACATCGATGATGCTCTATCCACTGAGCCAAACCGGTTTCGGCATAATTTCTATTTTTCAGTTATATTTTACTTTCAATATTATTTTGTATTAGTTTCAGGTGTACAGCATTGTGGTTAGACAATCATATACTTTACAAAGCATATTTCCAGTAGCTGGCACCATACATACATAGTTGTTGCATTCCCATGACTATTCTCTAACTATCAATCTGTAGTTCTCAATCCCTTCACCTTTTTACCTCATTCCCTCAACTGGAAGTATTGCTATTCACTTCTACTTTGATTCCATTTACTAATACAAGTATTCCCCTTAGACATGGACAAGTGGGGACTCTGCACATCAGGGGGCCATATTTGAGAGTATTTTATTTGACTTTTTTTTATTCCTCCAGATACCTGGAACTTGAGGACTTTTTAAGTAGGATACATGCATCCCAGGCTAGGCTACATGTGGACTCATCAATTTCTCAGCTTGGGTTACCCTGTTAGAGAAGAATGGAGAAGAACCAAGCAATGCTTAGAGAGATGGAGTTACATTTATTGTTATTATTACACACGGACCAAGAGAAAAATGTCTCTAGAATTCTGGGCCAAGTCACACAGGAAGTTTCCTGTATTTATACCTTTTTTATCCTCTTTGTCTCCCAAATATGGGGTTTTCTGGTCCGAGACCTCGACCTAAGGCTTGGCCTGGTGCCAGCACTGATAACTTCGTCTGGGGAAGGTTTCATGGCCTCTCTGAAATGGGAGTAATCTTATTTTCCTTATCATTTAAGCAAGCAAGCATTTACAGAAGCCAAAATAGCAGGGCTAAAAATTCAAACAGCAGTTTTTATATAAGATGGATGCTTCAACCCTGTGATCCTCTACCTCATGGTGATGTCAACTAGATAATGCAAGGAGCTCTAGAACTTAAGACTGTGGGGCCATCCTGAGATCCTGTGCGTAGACTTCAGTTCCAGGAGGGTGGCCTCAGGAGCAAATCATTCCCACAGGCTGGAATGTGTTTTGTTTTGTTTTTCAATGTTGCCTGAAATTAGGGAGGCTGGATTGGTTGGCATGCTGATGTGGAGTGAGTCTCACTCCAACTGGGCATATGCTGAGTTTAGAGATCTAGGCTACCTACAACCAACACTACCATTTGGGCTTGAGCCACAAGTATGGGCCCATGCATCAGCTGTTCCTCATCTATCAGCTCTCACTGGTCCACCTTCTGACTATGGTGTTAACTCTGACCTGCAGCACCCATGGGCGGTAAGTAATGGCAGAAGACGTCTTTTATTCTGTGAGTCCCTCCTTGCTACTACCTAATACCACATGTCAGACCATCCTCCTGGAATGGCTACATGTGCACATTTCAAAGGATTTTGAGATTATTACTCCACAATGACAAAGTGTCTTCTGATTATTGTCTTTTTGATTCCAATAGATGTGGTAGGATTGTGCTCATCCAACTCAGTCTTAAGTTATGCCAGAAGATAGATGTAACTGCTCTTCTGGGTCCACTCATAAGCCCCTTAACTATCCTCTTCACTGATGGTGGTATATGGAAAGCAGTGATGCAATCAACATTGAAAGAGATCACATTTCAAGAATATAAAGCTATGGCTTAAAGAAGTCAAGAGAAGTAATGGTTGGAACATGTACTATTATACTCTTTAATTATACTATTATACTCTGGCAACTTTAAGGTGACCAGAAGATGAATTATCTTTCACACCCTTCTGCATTCTCGGGATAATGCTTGCATTTGTGGTCATCTCTGAGAAAGTCACCGAAAGCCGGTAATCTCACACAGCATAATGGATAATGCAGTGTCTTGAATAATGATGTAATCAGCATTAAATAAATGGTACTAGGACCTCCAGAGGCAAGAGGATATATAGGGTTTAGGTACAAACAGGTTCCAAAAAGCCTTGGCATTGTTAGTAGTAAGTGTCACTATTAATCTCTCACAAAGGGAGAGGGGATATTAGCCAGGAGTGTCATTTTTGACAATAAGGAACCCAGAAAGGTTTCTTAATCTTAGCAGGAAGACGTGGTGCCTGGACACTGTAGTGAACATTTTGTGTGCATTTATTGGACAGTAAATCAATACAGAAGTAACTATTCTCAGCCATTATTCTAAATTTTCACTGGTAAAACAAGGGCCCATGAATTATGTAACACATTTTTAGTCTAATTAATAAGGACCCCACAAAAATATTTTTCTGGGTCTCTGTAGATCCCAAGTTGGCTATGACTAGAACTGCTTCACATGGGCACACCTAATTACAAGAGACAATGAAAAATGCACTCTAGCTAAAGCCAAGCAAGAATAGAAAGCATTTGTGTGAGTATGTGCACTGAGAGTCAGCAAACCTGTCAGACTGAGGGTCAGACAATGAATATGAATATGTTAGTTATCAAATATATTTACGCATAAAATTTGCCATGGAGAAAAACAATGCTGAGAATAGAGAAAAGAAATGTGTAATCCATGATAGACCCTTAACACTGGGAGAAAAGCCCTATTCACCACAATGCTAGTTTTGATCTTTTTGTGTGTGTGTGCATAGAAACTACTTTCTTATATCTGTATAAATGTATCTATCTGTGTGTGAATTCTCTTCTTATTTGCTTATCTACATTTAGTTAATTGTTTAAAATCCAGGTCAATTAGAATTTATTCCGGTGTGCCTTCCCTTCTCGTTGATCCTTTCCTTTTCTAGTTTTCCTGAAAACTTTGCTTATGCTTCAAGTATGCTGCCTATCCCCTTCTACACTATGCCACACTACCTACTCCATTGCATGTGAAGGCAGGATGCATCACTTTCTTTTCAGTTTTGAATCTCATAATGCTTATCATTAACTCGCGTTAGCAAGTCCTCTACAAATGTTTGTTGAATGACTTTTAGACCTGTTCACCTTGGGAAGCTACAGAGGGTTAGCTGCTATTAAACGATTGTGTTTTAAGAAACTTCATTTAGCTGAGTTTGGGATTTTTTTTATGACATCAGATATTAAGGTGAATTAATTTGAAATATTCCTTAATTATTAGACTCCCTGGCAATTAGCCAAGAAATATTATTTCTTACCCTTTGCTGTAGTTTTTTTTTTTTTTAAAAAAAACTCTTATATTTAGGATTAAACTGAATGTAGAGGAAGAAAACAGTAAGAGATTACAGCAATTATTTATTAAAACAGACCTTTTTCTGGAGATCAGTACATAAAGCTATATCAGCCTAGCCCATTATTTTAAGTCACTAAATATCCATTAACATTTTAATAAAATCATTTCTTCCTATCTACCTACAAATGAAATTGCTGGGAGATATGTACAGGTGCTTGAAACTTAATTCAGGAATACTGATTTCAAAAACTAAGAATGATTACAATTCTTATATAATATTTGGAGATACAGAGATGGGATTGAGCATCCACATTGTGAACGAGAAAGAAATATCAGGTAAATAAAAAATTTAGAAAGCGCATTTCTGAACCCTTTAGCCTTGTAAACATAGTGACTGTGTCATAAGGCCAGGAATTCTAATCCTTGTCCTCATTTTTCACCATGAGCTTCAAATGGGTGAAAGGAAGAGGAAATCAGTGCATAATCTGTCATTCCTGATGACACAGGATGCCAATGGCTGACCCCGGGTGTAGATTTTTCCAAGACCAGACCTCCAGTTTCTAAGCGAGAGGCAAACTGCTCCACACTGTGGGTGGCTTTGTAAGTCACCAAACACCTCTTAGATGCTGCAGTTCACAAAGGTTTACTCAGAACAATATGCACCATTCCTTTAACTC